TCTGTGTCTAGGCCTCACCATACTCTAGACAAGAAAAGAGTAAAAAGTGATATGGTTTCTAGAGCTTGCTATTCCCTGATGATAGGGGTTTGACCACCTCTGGACAGGTATACTTCAGGAAAAGGAAAACATTAGGATCAACTTCGGATAAATAGATTTAAGCACAAGCTTCACAGTCAAACAGATATGGGTGCAATCCTGAGTTTGTCATTGCCTACCTGTGTGTCATTGGGCAATTTCTAATGGTTTCCATATCTATAAATTGGGAATAAAAGCTTACAAGACTGTTTTGAGAAAAACATGAGTTAATATATATTAAGCAAATAACAATGTCTGGCCTAAGTGCTTATTTCTCCATTATACATTATGAAGCTTTTATGGGCAAGCCCTGCCCCACCTCTATGCCTTCCTTGATGATCTGAAATAGGCAGGATCTCTTCCAGTAAAGGGGGAAAGTCAGACCTGGGCCTTTCCCAACAGTGCCTCAAAGGAATTAATCTGGGACACGGCACACTAAATTCTCCTTTGTGAAAACTCATAATGCACATTAGTATATTAAGGGCTCAGGAAATTCTTACAGTAAAGAAACCTATTTGATTTTGTTTAACCTAGTGTTTTCTAAATTTATTTGACCCCTTGTTTTTCACAGTAACCACTCCATTTTGCATTTTCAAAAATGCTTCTTCAGCAAACAAGCCTGTTAAAGTTGTTAAAGGGGTGAGGGGAATAGGGAACAGAGATCAAAATCTCTCATTCCTTTCCAGGTTACAGTAAATTATTTCTTAAAAAAAAAAAACCTTAAAGAACATTATTTGTTTTGTGCCATACAAGTGTATTGAAGACCCATAAAAAAAAAAAAAAAACACATTTATATATCTGCTTCAGATTTCTAAATCAGTAGTTCGTCAACTTTTTGGTCTTAGAACCCCTTTACACACTTAAAAAGTTATTGAGGATGGTGGGGTTGGCATTAGAATGGGGCATAAATAATCTTTTTGGAGTGATGGATATGTTCACTACCTTAATTGCTGTGGCAAATGATGCATTGTGTATGTACATGTCAACACTATCAAATTGTATACATTAAAATGTGTAACTGATTGCATATCAGTTATACCTCAATAAAGCTGTAAAAAAATTACCGAGAACAAAGAGCTTTTGTTTATGTGGGTTTTATCTATGAATATCTCTCAATTGGCAATGAAAACTGAGAATTTTTTTTAATTCGTGTATTAATTCATTTAATAATAATAAACCCATTTTATGTTAACATATATAATTGCTTGAACAATTTCTCTTAGAAAGATCAGCACTAGGCCGGTCCCCATGAGGCGGAGGTCAAAGATGTCCCAAATGTCCAAACTACCATGCCACTCCATCATTTCAGACATTAACTCCTCCTCCTCCTCCCAATAATTTCCCCAGTCTTAGGGTTCTGTATTTCGCTGTAATGCCTCACAGAACTCACAGACACCCAAGGGTTCGTCTCACGTAGTAGTGGTGGAGGCTGGCAGGCTGGCGAGTCCCAGGTCCGTGAGTAGGTCTGGCGGATCCTCCCAACTCTCAGGGTTTGACGAACCTTGATCAGCAGATCAGATGACGGCTGCTGTCCCAAATCCAGGGGTGAGATGAGGATGATCCAAGACACAAAGCCGGAGCAAGAGGACAGTGAATCTTCCCAGGAGATTATACCCTCAGGGAAGCTAAGGGTGGTGATTTGAATTATACCCTCCAGCAAGGCAGGACTCAAGATACATTCCACCTGTGATGCCCCAACAGAATTAACCTAAATCCCATCACAGAGTTGATTGCCAGTCATTATAGGGAATGACTACTATCAGCTGCCCAGCCAAGTTGATACCTGACCTTAACTACCACAACACCCCAAACAGGCATGGATAATGGGATTTACAAAACATCACAGGATGGAGGATAATGGCTAGAAGGGCCACATCAAGCAATTCACTGCAATAATATTTTTAATTTAAAAATAGTGTGATAGTTTCCAAACAAAAAGTATTAGTAGGAAAAATAGTATTATTTTTATTTTTTGTAAATATCTTTAATGTTTGCCTTAAAAGAAGATAGCTAGATTGTCCTACCTGCTTCAGCATTCAATATGTTAAAATATGTCATTTTGTTTAAAATATGTCAAGAAAATCTGGCTTCAATCAGATATAAAGTTAGAAAAAAGGAAGGGTATTTTAATAGCTCTTTAAGATGATTTTGGATATTCTTTTTCATATTATACTGAAACTCACTAAATGGTGATTTCTTAAAGATAGTTGCTGTGGAGAATCTGAAAGCACATGAACAAAGTTTTTAAACACTGTTTTTTAAAATCCATTGGCTAGTCCTGAATTTTGAATGACTCTTACACCCATATATTATTTTCTTCTATTAGCCACTGGTCTTCAGAAAATATTTCTTCATGAGTTATGAAGACTACACAAATGATATACTCCTTTACATAAAATAAAAAAATATTTTTATTATTACCAATGATCCAAACAAAAAAGTCTTTAAATATTAGGAAGCTGTGAAGCTCATGGTAAAATTCAAGTTTTTCAAAGGTGATTTTTTTTTCTTAAAAGCTCAAATTTTATCAGTGCTAATAAATACTATCAGTTATTTTCCTTGAAGCGACAGGCTCACTTCATTCATTTTAAAGAAAATGTTTGAAAAATACTCAAGTCTGACTAGCCATACTTTGTCAATTTTCTTTTCAAAAATAAAAATGCTATTCCATAAAACAAAAGTGGCTAGTGCATTTCAGAAGTGTTTTTCTTCGAGATAGCCATCATACTTCTGTATGTAGCAGAAGTGTTTTATGATACTTCCCTATGTCACAAAATATTGAAAAGACATGTACTCAAAGATTGATATTAAATAAAATTTATGATTTTTACTGCATCATAAAAAACTTAAGTGAAACCAGCCTTGTTTTTTATCTTTTTTGTTGAAAGCACATGGCAAAGAAAGCAAACTGTGGTACAGCCTTGTTTCATACTAAGGCATCAACAATTTTATCCATCACTGCTTTTGCATTATCAGTGTAAATGTTAACATGGTGAAAAAGGGTGATATCTGAGTTTTATTATAAAACTTGTTTTGATCCCATGGACTCCCAGAGGTCTGCAGATCACATTCTGAGAACTGTTGCTCTAAATAAATATACTTAGATGCTGAAAAGACACTAGGAATATTAGTGGCTCCACAATGGTGCAAAGAGTTAAGCACTCAACTACTGGCCAAAAGGTCTGGTGATTGGAACTCAGCCAGATGTACCTGGAAGACAGGTCTGGTTATCTGCTTCTCTGCACATGTGGGAGTCATCATGAGTCAGAATTGACTCAATGGCAACTTCTTTTATAAGGCAGGATCCTTATTAGAAATAAAGAGCTAAGAAATTTACTTCAGAGCTGCATTTGTACAAATTCATCTACACGTATTTATATTTTTATTTGAAGAGTTAAACTTGTATGAAATTGGACATTAATCAATTAAATTTACATATTATTCAGATTATGGAATAAAGTTATTTCTGATTTATCATGTATAGTTTATACAACATAGGTTCATACTAAGTGGCTTCATAACCAAATATGTAATATTCAATGTTTTCTTCAATATAAAACTAAACAGAGTTAGTAATGGTTGTTGTTAGGTGCTGTTGGGTCAGTTTTCACTCATAGTGACCCCACATACAACAGAATGGAATACTGCCCAGTCCTGCGTCATCCTCACATTTGGTGCCATGCTTGAGCCCATCATTGTAGCCACTCTGTCAATCTGTCTCCTTGAGGGTGTTCCCCTTTCTCACTAATTACCTACTTTAACAAGCATGCTATCCTTCTCCAGGGATTGGTCCCTGCTGACAACAGGATCAAAGTAAGAAAGTCAACATCTGGCCATTCTCACTTCTAAGAAGTGTTCTAGCTGTACCAAGACAGATTTATTCATTCTTTAAGCAGTACATGGTATATTCAATATTCTTTGCCAACACCACAATGCCAACACCTCAATTCAAATGCATCCATTTTTCTGTGGTCTTCATTATTCATTGTGACCTTTCACATGCATATGAAGTTATTGAAAAGACAATGGCTTGGGTCAGGTGTACCTTAGTCTTCAAAGTGATATCTTTTGTCTTTAACACTTTAAAGACACCTTTTGCAGCAGATTTGCCCAGTGCAATCAGACCTGTGATTTCTTCATTGCTGCTTCCATGGGCATTGATTGTGAATCCAAGTAAAATGAAATCCTTGACAATTTCAATCTTTTTTCCATTTACCATGATGTTGCTTATTGGTTCTGTTGTGAAAGTTTTTTAATTTTCCACTTTCACTTTAAACATTGCAATATAGTCACATAAGGAGCTCTAGTGGCTTAGCAGGTAAGATATTTGGCTGCTAACCAGAAGGCAAGTGGTTCAGACCCACCACAAGCTGCTCTGCAGGAGGAAGATGAGGCAATATACTTCTGTAAAGATTTACAGCCTTGGAAACCCAATGGGGGTTGTTGTGAGTTGGAATCAATTCCATGTAAGTGGGTTTGGTTTTGGTTTATATAGTCACTTGACTTCCAGTGCCAGAAAAATGTAATTCAAGTGAAATATATCTTGTACAGTATCGGGACAAATGTTAACCATCACTGTAATTTCCGAATTTTACTTCTAAAAGATACACTAATGGAGAATAATACAGATACTCAAAATGTAACATATATTAATGACTTTTCAATTAAAAATATTATCCTCTGATGGAATCAAGAAGTCCATCTCCATCCATCATAGACAAAAAAGACTTTAAATGTTGATTTAGGAATTGTTTAAAGTAAAGCAGAGTATGTACTCATACTTGCAAAGTAAGTAATTTTTAAGCTATACTTAAATCCTAGTTATTGAATCATATATCCTTGTAACCCATGTTATAAAACAAAATTTTAAGCCATACAATTTAAATTTTATAAAACAAAAATGATAATAGAGGTCAACTTACTCGATCTGCTAATCCTCCAGGAACTATCGTCCTCACTACCACGCCACTTGATTTTCCACCAACTATTCCAAAACCTAATCCAGAGCCATCATTAATGAGCTCTACATCTTCAGTATGACCCCAGCACACCTACAAAGAGTCGTAAATTTACACATAGATTCTTAGCTTTCCAATAGTTATTAATGTAGCAGATATACAATAATTTGAGCATTGATATAATTAACTAAGGCAACTTTCTAGAGGCTAAAAGATATATAATGATATGGTCCTTGTCCTTAAGAATCTTTAAATCCAACAGAGAACCTAAAACACAAATAATTAAAATACACAGCAGAATATTAGATCATCAGAAGTTATAGTTCTATGAGGATAAGAAACATGTCTCATTCCCCACTCTATACCTACTACCTAGCACAGAGTAGGAGCCCAATAAATATGTGTTTGCCTGAACTGAAAATGAATCACAAAGTCATAATGATTTGGGAGGAGAAAAAGATGAAAAGTCAAATCCAAGGAAGAATAATGGAAATTTCCAAAGAGAAGAAGGCATTAAAATTGCACCATGGAGAAGTAAGATACTCAAGCAAAAGGGAAATGTAAGAGCAAAGCTGAGCAAAATGGGTCAAATGTTGCTCAAAATTGGATTTCAGTGCATAGACAAATGGGAGTAATTGAAGGTTTTAGGAGGGAATGACAGAAATGTGGTTTAGGAAGATTAATCTGGCAACAATGTGAAGAATGAAATAGTGAGAAGGATACGAGGTGAATATATTGGTTTAGGAGACTCTTATAAGGAAGAGGAAGGGACGGCCCAAATGCAAATATTAGCAACAGGAATACAGAAATCAGACTGACAGACATTAGCATTTTTCCCCTATCAGGCTTTCATCAGAAACGTACATTAAATTCACATAATCCAACTGCAGTGCAAAACTCAAGATCATTAGGGCATACTCATTTCTTTATTTTCTGAATAGTTTTCCTATTATACTAAATCAAAAAGTTACTATGCAATGTTAATGAGAAATACTAGGAATATTTAATAAATTCATATCTGGAATAGTATGTAAACCAAACCAAACCCACTGCTATTGAGTCTATTCTGACTCACAGCAACCCCCACTGGATTTCCAAGGCTGTAAATCTCTACAGAAGTAGATTGCCTCATCTTCCTCCTGTGGAATATCTGGTGGGATTGAACCTCCAACCTTCTGGTTAGCAGTCAAATGCCTTACCCACTACACTATTAGAGCTTCTTTGTAATAGGTAGAATCTGTTGTTGTTGTTGTTGTTATGTGCTGTTGAGTCTGACCCAACTCACAGCGACCCCTCCTTGGGTTTCCGAGGCAGTATCACTACGGAAGTAGATTGCCCAACCTTCCTTCCAAGGAGTAGCTGGTGGGTTTGAACCGCCAGCCTTCTGGTTAGCAGTCAAGTGCCTTGGGCATTATGCTACCAAAGCACCTGTAATAGGATTAGTACCTGGGAAATAATGTTTGCTTAAAAAAAAATGGCTGAATTAATGACAGCACCTAATATTCAGGGAATGTTACTGTGAATCAGGCACTATGCTTAGACCTTCACGTGAAATCTCATTTCATCCTCCCATCAGCTCTGGAGTAGATACCATTATTAGCACAAAATAACAGATGATGAAAGTGAGGTGTAGAAAACTTAAGAAACTTGCCCAGTGTGGAAGTGAAAGTACTGGGCTTGAATCCACCTAAGTCTGACTCCAACGCCCTTGCTCTTAAGCACTATGCTAAGCAATTTCTCCCTCTGTTCATTCTATTTATTATGTAAATTGTGCAATATAAATATTACTGATTACAACAGGGAAAATAGCCATATGTTAATTTGTGCTGTGACCTTGTACTGTTCCCAGACGGTCTATTTTTTTCTTTTGTCTCAATGAATAAAAATTAAATAAATCAGCTAGCACTTAGTGTTATAAGAAAATAAGATTTATTAGCTCACATTCTGAAGATGCAGGCCAAAATCTGTAAAATATTATGAAACAATTTTAAGGATTCCCAAAAGAGACATATACTTTTGTTTTTTCAAAATTGTTTCATATAGATCCTTACATGAAAAAACTGCAACAATTTTGTAGTATCTGTAATCAAGTCATAAGCCCCAACATATTTACATTTTAAATGTTTTGGAAATAAATAACCAAATCTTACTTAAGACACTTGTCAGTAAATCTCTAATAGAAACTCTCATCTTAATTAATTAACTGGGTACATCACTAAAGAACACAAAACTTTTCTATCACCAAATAAATTACACTAATACTTCAGTTTGCCCTCTATATTAAATAATAATATTAAATAAAGAGACCCATAGGACCTTGAAAAGACAATAAAAACAACCATGACATTTCTTGTTTTAATATGGTAATCTAGCATTTGGCGATAATGGTCATCTTTCTTAAAGATCACCTTCTAAATATCCTTGCACTTTATAAAATCAACAGAATAATTTAAAATTAAGTATTTTTCCAATTTTGCAACTCACTGTGTCAGGCAGAGTTGTATCACTCAGGCTGGTAGAAGGACTGCTTTTCGTGTGGACTAGATCCCTGGCCACAACCAGGCACAAAGGTCCAGTGGTTTGTTGTAATAAGGCAATTGCTTGCTGATGAGAAATGTTCTGATCCAGTGGTGTGTGATTTATGGCCAATATTTGGTCATTTTCTTTTAACCTTTGATCCCTTGGAAAAATAAGAGAAGAATTTTTTTAAGTGATATAACAAACTCTCAAGAATCTGTTATTGAGGATTAAACAGTTTATTGCTCATAGTACTACTTCACCTCGTACAGTTATTCAAATAATTATTTAATTATATACTACAACAGAGCTCTCTGAAGTGCTTTCACCAAAGCACTTATTAACTAATTAGGTATTGCATCCTTAATACAATACACACACGTGCATGCACATGTGTGCACATGCACACACACATACACCCATACATTTAAAAAGCCATTTGGCTAGAAAGATAAATAAAAGTCATGAATAGGGCATCACTGCCGATGTTTCTGCAAGCATGCAATGCCTTCATTACTGAACAAACCCTGTACTCCTTGAATCCTTCCAATATGACTTCCACTTATGTAACTAACATACTGGAAAAACTATATCCTCAAATTCACCCGTAACCTCCTCCCTATTAGATTCACCCTGACTTCATTGTCTTTCATTTGTCCAACAGTATCATTAGAGGTCAAACTCCCTTTCCTGAAAATCAGTAGAGATTACTTCCAAATCTGTATCTATGTCCTTATCTTTCCCCCAAGCCCCAATGTCCCAACTACTAACTAAGGTAAAAATGACTATTTTTTTAAAAGCATTATTATAGTTAGTATCAATTAAGCACTTTATTATGAGCCTAGTACTGTGCTAAGTGCTGTACATGCATTATCTCTTGTTTCTTCCCTACACAAAGCCCTTCTCCAAGCACTCTGATCAATTCTTTCCATTTCAAACAATCTAGGCATTTTCTGCTCTTGTGTAAACTGTTTCCTCCAACTCAAATGCCCTACCACTATGTTTATCTAAATTCAAACCACCCTTCACTATTCAAGAGCTCTGGTGGTACAATGGTTAAAGCATTTGGCTGCTAACCAAAAGGTCGGTGGTTTGCACCCACCAGCTGTTCCATGGAAAAAGGTGAGGCAGTCTACTTCCACAAAGATTTACAGTCTTGGCTCAGGACCATGGTTATGGGAGACATCATTTTATTGTGGTTTGGGTGAAAGCTTATTGAGCAAATTAGTTTCTCATTCAACAATTTATACACATTTTGTTTCATGACATTTGTTGTAATCTCCAAGATATATTTATTTTTAAATGTGAACATTACAGGACAATATATAGGAATCACTCCATTTTCATCTTCAGTGCCCTCCTCTCACTAACATATTCACTTAACATCCTATTCGTTCAAGGATATTTCTTAATTAATCCCAAATGAATGCGTTTCTTTGAATCTTTTCAACCCTAATGTAACTCATTTTGCTTAAGAGCCAGTCCTCAAATTACTCATGCACAAATGTTCAACTTTCTGGCAATCAATCTATTTTAGTCTACCTTTTTCTCCTACCCAGTAAGTTTCTAGGACACCTTCTTTCTTTCCAGTCAGTATCTGCTCAGGGAACATAAATTCAATCCAAGATAAATAAACTGCAGAGGAGAAGTTTTAAGGAAAATAGGAGATATGGATGCATTTGAAAATTGAATTAGTTTTACTACCACTGTTATTTACAATTTAACTTTCTCATATTTAAAAAAAATAAAAAATTCTCAGCTAATATCACTGAATTCACTTTCCATTCAAGAAAAGACTAGTTCTAGTCTTTCCATCAACTAATGAATTTTCATGACTAAGAACCAACATGTCTTAGATGAGCTCTAAAAATAACAAAATTCTACGTGGAAAGTCCTCAGAAGAAAGTAAGAACTGAGCGAGACCATGTAGATCTTTAAAAATGATCTAGAAAGTCCTGATGTCTGGTTCCTGCCTCTCTCCAGTTCCTTCTTGCACCATCTTGCACTAAGCTCCCCCACCAGATAAGTTCCAGCCACAATGAACATACAAGCTGTGTTCCATTTTTCCATAAGGCTACTGGTCAACAATAATCTCTCTATACTTCTCTCTCTCTCCTCCATCCCTTCAGCTGTCTGCAGACCCTGTTGTCTTCCCTCCAGTCTCCCTTCAAATACCACTGCCTTGGAGAAGCCAATCCTCCACTCTTAGAGTGCTTTACCATGTACAGATAATCAAACCCTTCTGTTTTAGGAGTACTCATCTCAATATTACATTCTAATTGTAAGGAGAAACTGAATCATAAGAATTGGCCATAGGTTAGGATTGTGTTTTTTTACTTATCATTTTGTACACAACACATGGGAGCTCTGGCAGCAAAGTGCCTAAGGCATTTGACTGCTAACCAGAAGGCTGGCAGTTCAAACCCACCAGCCACTCCTCGGAAGGAAGACTTCCATATAGATACCGTCTTGGAAACCCAAGGAGGGTTCTCTATGAGTTGGAGTCAACTCCACGGCAATGAGTTTGGATTTTAGTTTTACACATAGCATACAGTAGGCCTTTAATAAAATATTTGTTAAATAAATGAATGGATGATACTGTGAAAGGTTCCAAACACATTTCTAAGTATTTTGGATACAGCATATGCCAAAGAGGCAGGGAGAAGGCATCTTCTGACTTCCTCTAACTCCACTAGAGGAAGACAGAATCACTATCAGCAGTCCAAAGCCTGTTCTTATGAGGCCAGACATGCTGCCACCCTCCAACCCTCTTACTAACCTTGTCATCAACTGTTCCTCCCACGGCACCCACCACCTCTCTGCTAGGTTCGATAAATCACTGCAGTGGCCCCAGAACTCACAGATTATAGTTTATTAGGGAAGCAACAGGCTACAATTCAAGTTCAGGAACGCATTCAGCTTCTCAGCTTGCAGTCTCTCTCTCAATCGGTAGTCTCTCTCTCAACCGGTAGTCTCTCTCTCAGCCGGCCATCTCTCTCTCAGCTGGCACTTTCTCTCAATCTCTCTCAGTAGCATGTCTCTCTCTCAGCAGTACGTCTCTCTCACATCTCTCAGCAGCTCATTTCTGTCAGCAGCACGTTTTTCTCAGTAGCATGTCTTTCTCAGCTGCAGTCAGAGAGAGACTCCTTCTATCTCTAGGAGGGCTCATTTTAAGGCTGGCAGAGTAGCAAAACTAACCAATCCCAACATTAGAATTCTACACACCTGAGAGAGAGAGCAAACTTTCCAGAAAATTACTTTGTGCTGCCCTAGGTAGGTAACTTTAACAATCAGCTACTCAGTTGCTCACGGTAAAGTGGGAGCTACAAATACTATGGCTAGAAAAGCCATACCATGCAATTTATTACATCGCAGCATATTCCACCTATCTTGTAAAATCTCTACCAGCTTTTCCCAATGCTTCCATTTGCCAAGTTTCTCTAGTCAATGCGTAAAGCATAATAAGGAACAATGTCTAATTCAACATATAGGTCACTCTCCAACAGGCTTCCATTCTATGCCTCTTCAAAAACAAAGCCTAATGGAGAGCATAATAAAATATAAAACAAAAGCTATTTACTACTAAGAGCAATAAAATAAAATATATTAAGCATTTGTTTTTCCTAAATTTAGTTAAGTAATTTTATGAGTCATATGTTCATGCTATATAGGTACATTTCTAGAGACTTTTTCTTTATTATTTTAACAAAAATATGACCACTGTTTTGCTTGTGTTTTTTTATCTTTTTTTTTTAAGACAGGCAGATTGCCACATGCAGCACCTCATTTGGATGTGTCTGGAATCTTGGAAGCTTGACTATCCTACATTCTCCTACAAATGACCTTGAGAGTTTGTTTGGAGGTTCCAACAGGGAAACACAGCTACTTGTATGCCTTGACCAAAGGACATTCCTCCTCTGTCAGAGAAGGTCGTCCTCTTCAACTGAGCATGTACCTTCAGGAAGGATGCACATGGAGCAGTGAGGAGGGAGACACTGCCCAGCCAGCCAGAGTGCCCTCAAATCCAACTTTTTTGTCATTCTCATTTAGGAAATTTTGTTATATTTATTTACTTTACTTTTAAAATTTTTAATATTATAGGCCTCTCATGTCTTTCCCTCCCATCTATGACATACATTAAATATATCATTTGTTAAGTTATATTTTCTTCCATTGTATTTTGAAAAAGAATGTTTAAAATGTCACCTATAGAATTTTTTCAGGTTATTAGACTCATTCATCTATTGTATTACTGTTTGTTTTTGGTGTCTGTTTGTGGGCGATAGTAGAAGGGACTAGCTTTTACAATGTTCTGAAAGCATAAAAGTTAAAACATATAGTTACACATACTCTGTTCTGTGAATATTCAATATCCAAATAACATACATACATGAATGAAATCCCACCCATTTGTCACTCATTCAGCAAAAAATACTAAGCAAGTACTATATGTTATATAGTATGTCAGCTATCATGGACAGTAAAGATGTGTGTCATCAGCCATGCCCTCAACACACTTGCACTCCATTAATCAGAGGAAAACACATACAGTGTACTAAATATTTATTGTATATATCATGTTATATTGTATGTTACCAGCAGACTAAAAATAATAGCAAATATGTATTGAGCCTTTATTATAGGTTCAGCACTCTGCTGTGGGATTTGTTAATATTATTTCATCTGCATTTCACCATAACATTGACATTTTATAGATTACAAAACTAAGATGTCCTGTGTATGCACAGGGATACTGTGTATGCACAGGGAGACAGCTTGGGGCGCAGGAATGCATGGGAGGGAAGGACACAGGGAAGAGGTAACTATGGGGAAGAGGTGGGAGGAGAGCTGATGCACTGTGGGAGATTGCAGTTAATGTCATGAGACAAAGTGTATGTGAACTGCTGTATGGAAAATGAATTTGCTCTGTAAACTTTCACCCAAATCACAGTAAAAATTAAAACAAAAAAAACTAAGATGTAGCAGGATTAAGTAACTTGACCAAGGTTACTCAGCTAGAGACAAACAAAATTCAAACAGTCTATAGGACTTCTTTGCCTAATGAGCCTGTAAATCTTCCTTTTCTGATAAGAGATTCTCTACTATAAATAACCCTGTCTCTCAGGTGTTGGGTCCACCTCTGTGTCCTTGGGGTTAGAGCCTGCTTATATTCAGTTTTATACATGGTAGATAGGGAACTGTTGTAGACATACTGGATGGCAACATGCCAACAAGTTCTTTGGTAAAGTTCTTCATGTTAACCTAATAAAAGAGAAGTAAATGTTGAATGCAGGGGCAACTGGACAAATCAGTGACAGAAGTACCTAAAAGCAAGATTGACCTGGAGTGGAGAACCAACTCACATGTCATAGAATGCTGCACAATCTTATATTAACAGTATTAATGTATGCAAGCATCACATTTATAGACACTAAAGAGCTGGGAAGGATAATAAATATTAAGTTAGTATTCCCCAAGGTATTCCAAGGACCTTAGTAGGTACTATTTAAACAAAAGGCTCCATATTAGAAGTTAGGCCATAGAGACCAAAAGTAGATTAGTGGTTGTCAACAAGCAGGAAGAGAGAGAAAAAATGACAGCTAACAGCTGTGAGATTTCTTTTGGGGGTGACAGAAATGTTCTGGAATTACTTAGTGGGGAGGGTTGTACAACATTATGAATACACTAAAAACCACTGAATCATACACTTGAAAATGGTGAAGTTTATGTGATATGAATAATTGGTAAAAGTGTTTTAAAAAAATGTTTTTAAGAGCTGCACCAACCAAAGTTAAACAGGGTTTGTATCAAGGGACTTCACTGCCATATTATGTTATGTTAAGCTAATTGTAAGTCCAGGTTTATCCAGAGTTGCCTGTTTGCCAAATAGTCCAGTTATATATGCCATCTCTGTGTTATCATTAATAGTACCCCCTCACACTGCCAAAACTGTCACAATATGGACAAGAAAATATATGATCACCTAACTACGTACACCCAATCTCCAAGAACAGGACAGTCTCTCAAATATATCTGACCACTGCTATGGTTCCACAGAACATGCTAGAGGAAATACTGCATTAGATGGCAAAATCAAGATGCATTATAATTTCTGAATTTTAAGTATGGGAAATTTCTGATCCCCCATGAATGGGGAATGTGAATTCAAATATAGATTATCAATTGAGAATGTTTACAATAGAATGGTGCCTCTGTTGTTATTACTCTAATGTACAGTGATAACATATAGAGTGCTTATTAAATGTGTAATAAACCAAAGACCTAAAGTCAAATAAACACAAAGTACAAGACTTATTTATACTATACCCTTAAAAAATAAAGGCACAAGTGCAATATGGGGGCTGACATATACTTGAGGAGCATTTTAATTGACAATTAATCTAAAAAATCAATAATGGACAATGATCACCAAAAATGTTGCTATAATCTTAAATTTAATAATCCACATATGATACACAATAAGTATTTTAAGATTCTCATTCTACTGATCTGAGTGCAGCTAAAATATATTCAAATTTGAGTGAGGTAGAATGGAAAGAGCAATAGCTTTGCAGCCAGTCAGTCCTGGGATCACATGGCTCCAGCATTATCAGTTCGGTGATGACAGGTAAACTTCCGAACCTCTCTGAACCTCAGCTTTCTTATGCATAAAGCTGGACTGGTGTCACAAGTGTACGCGAGAACATACGCAAGGCATGACAAATGCATAAGAACAGCTTAAGTCAGTGTTAGCTGCCATTGTTACTGTTTTCACTACTAGTTTCAGATTTCTTTATAATCTTTCCAGAATTATCACACACACAAAAAAAAAACTTTAGCTAAAAGCAAAATGAGGATCTTCCTCACCTGTCTGCTACACTCCCTGGCTGCACCTCCTTCACAAAGATATCAACTTCTCCCAGATTTTGTCTTCGAAGGGCCACCACACTGAATCCAAGGCCACCAGTTGAAGGTCGTTCTATATCTATATATTCAATTTGCCGGCCCTGATGAAGGAGGTTAAAAAAAAAAAAAAAAAAAAGCCAATGTAGTATGTTTAACTAACAAATCCTTTCCATAGAGCTAAAATTGCCTAAGCACAAAAACAGCTTCTCCTAAATCATCTCTATAAAACCAAAAAAACTCAGCAGTTTAGTAATAAGTTATTTCTGAAAATGCTTTTACTAGATTATTTTCAATAAAACCTAAGAGGGAGTGTGTGGTACTTTTCAGCCTCAGGGAATCAGAGAGGCATTTTGACACCTCATTCACATTATGAGATAAATTCCAAGCTAGATGAAAATTACTAAGAAAATGCTTTTTCCCACAGTAGTCTAATCTACCTTTTATACTATACTTTCTAAATTCTTTTGATGCAAAATACATTGTTTTTTTTTTTTTTGCTTTTTACTTTTATTGTGGTGAAAATACACACAACAAGACATTCACCAATATAACAACTTCCAAATTTACAGCTCAGGACATTGGTGACATTTTTCAAGTTGTGCCAACATTATTGCTATCCTTTTCTAAAATATTCCACCACCATTAGCATAAAGGCAATGCCCTGCAAATAAAAGCTTCCCCTTTTCCCCATCCCTGGTAACCACTAATAATCTTTGGTTTCTACTTTTTTTCTTTTTGGGATGCAAAATACATTTTTAAATGAGGAAAACAAATTGGACGTACCAAAAATATGCTAATGTTTAATCTAAGTCCAAATCAGCTACATTTCTCACGTTCTGTTTTTAATTCTACTGTGATGAATGAATTAGGTCAATTCAAAAGACCATGGAAAAGGCCACTATTCATAGTTTTAGCTGTGACTATCAGATATTTTATTGCTTTAGCTAGTAACTGCAATTATAACATAAAAGTAGACAACTAACAAAAGAATCACATAAAAATAATTCTTAGAGAATCAAATGAAAGGTATAGAACTATAAAATTAAAAAAAAAAAAAAAAAAGAGGTGGAGAACATTATTTAACTATCACACCTTAAACAGGTTCTTTTTCACTTTAGAATTCAAGCTTCATTTTTAAAGGCCCTTATTAGAATAAGCTCTGGTGGTGTAGTCCCTAAGGCATTTGACTGCTAACCAGAAGGCTGGCGATTCAAACCCACCAGCCACTCCTCAGAAGGAAGACTAGGCAATTCACTTCTGTAGAGATACTGCCTTGGAAACCTAAGGAGGGGTCGCTATGAGTCAGAACTGACTCAATGGCAGTGAGTTTGGTTTTTTTTTTTTAATTAAAAGGTGTAGGTGACACAGTGGCTAAGACATGTGACTGCTAACCAGAAAGTTAGCAGTTCAAACCCACCAGGCACTCCACAGAAGGAAGATAGGGCAATCTACTTCTATAAACATTTACTGCCTCGGGAATCCAATGGGGGTCGCTGTGAGTCAGAATCGACTCAATGATAGTGAGGTTGGTTTTTTGTTTATTTGTTTTATTAGAAGGTATAAGAGCTCTGGTGGTGTAGTGGTTAAGGCATTTGGCTGTTAACCAAAAGGTCAGTGGTTCAAACCCAACAGCCAGCCACTCTACAGAAGAAAGATGAAGCAGTCTGCTTCCGTAAAGATTTACAGCCTAGGAAACCCAACAAGGATTTCTATGAGTCAGAATTGACTTGATGGCACTGAGTATTAGAAGGTGAGATGAACAAACAGAAAACCAACATATCCAAAAATTTACTTTGTCTATTATTTAATGTTTAATGAGGAATAAAACTGAGTTATCCTTTCAAATGTGTCCCTAGATTTCCCAATTTATATTAAGCTTCTCATTAAGAAGCCTTGACAGTACAGTAGTTAAGCAGCTCAGCTGCTAACCAAAAGGTTGGCAGTTCCAACCCAACAGCCAATCTACAGGAGAAAGATAAGGCAGTCTGCTTCTGTAAAGACTTACAGCCTTGGAAACCCTATGGGACAGTTCTACTCTGCCCTATAGAGTCACTATAAATTAGAACTGAGTCGAAGGCAATGTGTTTTAACCCTCATTAGCTGTTTTAATATAAAATTTTCAAGTTTCAATACTTTTATTACTCTGGTAAAGAAATTATATATAATTTTCTTCCAATGATCCAAACCAGTTAAGAATCTCTTTCCTTACAAATGTAAAGATGTGTCAAATTGGAATCATTATTGAAAAACTCTCCCTGAAAGAAGGGCTGTTTATGCACAGGGAGACAGCTCAGGGGCCAGGAGTGCATGGAGGGATGGACACAGGGAAGAGGTAACTACCAGGAGGAAGTGGGAGTGGAGCTGTTGCATTAAGGTAAATTGTAATCAATGTCATAAGACAAAGTGTATATAAACTGCTGTATGGAAAGTGAATTTGCTCTTTCACCCAAATTACAATGCAAAAAAAGAAAAGAAAAACTCTCCCCACTGTGAATGTGTATACTTTCATTAAGTAATTTTAAGCCAATAAATTTCTAACACAGAGGTGAGAAAACAGCATCAATTCTTCCTAATAATAAAAAATACAAGCAAACAAAATATAGTAAGACGTTTTAAGGCAAAAGAGTGTGTGTGTCTTTTTTAAGCTATTTAACAGGCAAAATGAAGCTACATATTCCTATGACAAGATATAACTTTACCTGAGCCATCTGTTGAACAACTGAGTTGAAGTCTTCATTTCCCAACTTAGGGGTCCAAGGAAATAACCCAGATACAGCCAAGTTTCTAGAGGGCTTTTGGGCACTCCCATTAGTAATGGAACCATCTGTAAACACCAAAATACCTTTCCTAGAAAACTCAAAGTTGGCTGAACAATCTGAGGGTATATGACTCAGCTGTTGGAAAGAAAAACACAAGAGACTCATCAACAGAAACCAGTAGAAAAGTATATTATTTTTATTAAACAAATACTGTATTTTTCCTATTACATGTATAATTTGCATGTTAAATATGCACATGTGGAAGAAATAAGATACAAATACATGAATGTGTATATTTATTCAAAATGTTTGTCAGCTTAAAATTTGTTCATGTTTCCTGCCTTTTACTACTACCCCAAGCAGCCCTGGTCATGCAATGATTAAGTGTTCAACTGCTAAGCAAAAGGCCAGCAGTTTGAACCTACCAGTGGCTCTTTGTGGAAACCAGCTCTCATAAAGATTACAGTCTAATAAACCCTATGAGGCAGTGCTACCCTGTTATACAGGGTGGCTTTAAGTTGGAATGACAGTGGCACACAACCACTACTACTACCCAAAATTAACATTATCTCTACACTAGTATCTCAATACACTTCATATACAGATAGATGCAGACATATAAATATGAATATAGGACACTAAGCGTTTTTGCATTTACCTGTACATTTTAAGTGGAGAGCCACCATAGGAAGTATATAACAATAATAACAGTAACAGCATTTACTGAGTATTTGCTATAAGCCAGGCACTGTGTCAAGGTTCTTACATGTATTATCTCATTTAATTTTTACTCCAGATCTATGACATATATTATCTCATTTTGTGAATGTGAAAACTGAGGCACAGAGGGGTTGGGTAATTTGCCCAAATACATAGCAAGTGAGTGGCAGAAACATTAGTAGAAAAGGATAATCATATAATTATGCGGAGCACGAAAAAAAAAAAAAAAGGTTAATTGTTTTAAATATCATATAGCTGATAACTACCAGCACACAGCTGAATAAAGGTAACATTAAAAACAAATAAATGTCAATAGAACCTGAGAGAAAAAACAACACCCATTGAGGGGATTGTACATAATGTCACAAAACAAAATGTATACAAATATTGGAATAGGAAACTAATTTGCTCTATAAAGTTTTACCCAAACTAAAAGATGCTCAAAAAATCAAACAAGATAACATCCCTTGGGTACAAAGATTTTACAAGAATGAAATATGATCATGTATATAAAAACTGTAAACCATAAAATCTAATGGACTGTCATTATTATGGTGGGGTTATTCTACAAATAGTTATAGAACTGTACTGATCTTTCCCAATTTCAAGCGCTACCAACAGCATTCAATGCTGCAATATAGGAGTCTAAAATTATGGCATTAAATTTTGGTCTAAAAAGAGAAATTCACAGAAAGATATACGTGCAGCATTTAATCCTAAATTAGTTATAAACAAATTACTCATTAAATATTTATGGGGCAGGAATTTTGACATATCAGCAAAAACACTCATTCCCAAATTTTATTTTCACCTATTAACAATTCTGCTATATTTTCTCCAATTACATTTAAGATCCTGCCCAAATTTAATCTATAGGACAGCTATTATTCAAGCTCCAGAATTCATTCAAGTTTCCAGAATACATTATTTTAAAACCAAATTGCCAATCTTGACCTGAAAACACAGCACCCAAGAGAATAGTAATGCTTTGCAATTAGAGATGTCCTTTATAAATATATGTCCTTTAATTCAACAACTATGTTTTAAGAGCCTGTAAAAGTCCAGGAACTATGCTTTATGTAGTAGAGAAAACATTAATAAATATTACAACACCAGGTATACTGCTTACCAAGAACATATAATCATGATGTGAAACAAGAAATATTTGATAATTATTAAGAGGGTCAAATAATGTGCTACAAAAGTATAACCATTTCTTACTTCATCCCTTCATGAAGAAAAATATATTTAAGGAAAGCACTCTTTTATACATTTTAAGAATTTTGAGAATTTTCAAAGCGTCTACCTTTCCACATTTAAGTTAGTACAAAAACCATATTCCAAAGCCAAAAACAATGTTTAAACTAGTCATGCCCATGCTACACAAGTCACAAGTCACAAGTCTCAAGCAAGTCTCTTAGCTGAAATAAGAGACAATTTGCCTCTGTTTCTATCTCCTTCTATTGTATCTTGTTGGAATAATCAATGTGTAAAATTGTGGTGGGCAACTTACTTGCCCCTTCAGTTGCTTGATGGACTGCTGAAGTGTGAGTATCTGGTTGAAGAGAGGACTCCTTAGAGTCTCATAAAACGTAGACAGCTTCTCATTCTGCGATGTGTCACCCTTCTCCTGCAATTTCAATTTCAGGCGATCAAGCACCAGCAGGATCTGCTGTTTATCTTGGTTAAAGAGGAATAATCAGAGAAAAAGTTAAGTCCCATCTTATATTCTACCCTTGTGTTATGAATTAATTACTTTTGTAACAGAACAGAATACCTATTATACCTGGGGCTGGATTTTCCGGCATTCTGAGTTATTTTCTTCAATCACTTTTCAAGAAACCTAAAAAAAATTAAAAAATTCAAGAGATTCATTTCCACTAGTGTATATGCATCTATAGTCCTACAAAAAATTAAACAAAACCTCGAACACATTCTTCATCTAAAGACTCCACTCAGGGAAACTCAAATTAAAATCACAATGAGGTACCACTACTTATCCACTAAAATGGCTGTAATTTAAAAACCAAAATAGGTAATACCAAGTGCTGGCAATGATGCAACCAGAACTCTCAACCATTGTTATTATGAATGTAAAATGCCATACTACTTTGGAAAACTGTTTGACAGTTTCTTTTAAAGTTAAAATGCACTTACTAATAGAGGGTATGCATATATTAACTTGGGTGAAGGGAAAAACAATATGCAATAAGGGGAAGGTCAGTACAAAATGATAAAAGCAGAGGAAGACACTGGGAGGAGCACAAGAGTTAAAGGAAACAAAGGTGAATACTATTACATACATAATCCTGTGATAACGTAATAACAATAATCTACAAATAGAGAGACAGACAATTGAGCTGAACATGCGTATGAAGGCAAATGGGACTATACACATGAATGTATGTTTGACAGAGGATCTTTCTACCTATGTATTTGTAAGTGCTGCAAATGAATCCATAAAGGGGGAAGGGGCACTTACTATATAACCCAGCAATTCCATTCCTAAATACTTATCCAATGTAAATGAAAATATATGCCCACAAAAAGTGCAAAACAGCTTTATTTACAAAATGCCACACAAGAAAATCCCAAATGTCTAAAAAAAGATGAACAAATTACAGGATGTAAATATAATGGAATACCAGAAATAAAATGAAAAAAAAAAAATTATTGATACACACAACATGGATGAACCTCAAAAATAGTACACTGAGGGAAAGAAACCTGTCAAAAAAAGAATCCAAACTGCATGATTCCATTCACATGAAGTTTAAGTACTGGTAAAAGTAATCTATATTTAGTGATCAGTCTACCTGGGATAGGGTGGAAGGTAGTTGACCAGGAACAGTTTGAGGGAGATTTTTGGGATGATTGAAATGTTCTCTTTTGAATGGGGTACTGTTTACACAGATGTAAGCATTTGTCAAAATGCACTGAACTATATATTTTAAACAGGCATATCTTACTGAATGTAAATTATATTTTAACAAAAATTGATTTTAAAAAAGGATCCTGAGATGGAGAAAAACATCCAAATTAAGGAATCAAGAAGATTTTAGAGGAAATTTTTAAACTTTTAAAAAGTACCAAGCTGCATAAATGATCCCAGGCCCTTACCACACATCTGATAGAGGAAATCACCCAACATGACATTTCTTTGGATCATGTTTTTTAATTCCAACAACTTGCTTCAGGAAGCCTAAAGTATAATGTAATCTAAACTCTGTGCTATGACCAAAATGGCAATTTTGTCATGGTACACTAGTAGGACACTGTTGTAATGAACCATCAAGAAATGAGTATCATACAATCAAACTTTCCTTACATCAACCCTGGATCTGTGGCTGAATGAAATCTTTATCTTCCACTTCAAGGTCATTAAGCAAAAAAGCTTATTCATTCTTATTGGTTCTTTATTAAAAACCAATAAAGATTGGATAGTGGTGATAGTTGCCCAACATGATGAACATAATTAATGTCATTGAATTGTACATGAAAAAATGTTAAAGTGGTAAATGTTTTGGTATACACACACACACACACACATATGTATATACATATACATACATACATACATACATATATACATACATACATACATACATACTCTGGTAGTATAGTGCCTAAGGCACTTGACTGTTACCCAGAAGGAAGGCTCGCAGTTCAAACCCACCAGCCATTCCTCTGAAGGAAGGTCGGGCAATCTATTTCCGTAGTGACACTGCCTCGGAAACCCAAGGAGGGGTCGCTATGAGTCGGGTCTGACTCGACGGCACATAACAACAACTCCACAGCACATAACAACAACAACAACATATACATATCTATAAAATATATATTTTGGGAGCTCTGGTAGTATAGTGCCTAAGGCATTTGACTGCTAACCACAAGGCTGGAGGTTCAAACCCACCAGCCACTCCTCGAAAGGAAGATTGGGCAATCTACTTCCGCTTCAGAATCCTAAGGAGGGGTCACTATGAGTCAGAAAATGACTCAACAGCAGTGAATTGGTGAATTTGTTTTTTTTAGTTTTATATATACATAGAAGCCTCAGTGGCACAAACAGTTTGAGATTGGCTGCTAACCCAAAGATTGGCTGTTCAAATCCACCCAGTAGCTTC